TACAAATTAAATTTCATGCTCCTTCACGGTTGTCGACAATAAAGTCAAAATTTTGGTTCGGCTGAAACATGCGCTGCCTTCTGCGAGTCATTCCTGAAGGGTTCGTTGTGTTGCGCGAAGGAATTCGGCTTACTCGCTGCAATTTGCAAGTGACTGTAGAATGCCGACCCATTAGGTAGGGGCCAACTCACCAACTTGTTGCCGTCTCAGTTATTCCGGCTTTAAAATCACGTAACACATAAGTTCAAATATAATCTTCATTATTTCTTTTCTTATCGCATTAAAGCGTGAGCTTTTTATGAGCACAGACAGATCTGCTGTTTACAAAAAAGGAAAAATTTAATTGCTTGCAGTTTATTTTCAAAAGTAGAGAAAATCATGTCGACGGAACTGTCGCAGTAAATTTCCCAGCTGGGACAATGAAAACCTGTATTTAAGAGAGCGAAAATTCACAAGCTTGGCTAAGAACTCTCTTAAATACGTTATAAGTTCACTTGCCGACAGTAACATTGATAAGATAAGATTTCAGTCCACAAATGTTTGCTTAACTGCGAAATTATAATTTTTTTAAATAATTATATAAATATAAAATGTAAGTCTTTTAATTATATTTCTATCATATATTCGACAAATGTTTGATGAAGTTTGATATAATTATTACATTTATTCATAAATATTATATTAATAAATATAGAAATAAATAAATATAGAAATAATTAAATATATAAATGTAACAAAACCTTATTAAGTTATTCACATGTAAACCATCCATAGAATGCCCAGACATCAGGTTCTTAAATGTAAAATTAACTAGTCTCATACACCCTTCCAAATTCACGTTTAAAACAGTGTCGAAGCAAAGATTTATTTCCTTGCTAATAAAATAATTTGTATAAATTAGTTAGTTAATCATCTTAGTGAGCGAGTGCTTGGCAAGCATCGCAGATTAACGCAGACGTCAGCGCTCGTCATTTGATTGGACACAAAGAGTTGTTTATGCCTGCGGAAATCATAACAATAACTACTCAAGATACTTGCTATCCAATTAGCAGACAATCAGCTCATTCTTCACGGCTATCATTTGGGTCAATTTCGTAAGCGAAGGCGCCACAATCAGCAAACTAACTGCTTGGGCGTTGTCAGATTGGCCTTGCAAAGGAAATTGTATTCCTCTCAATAACAATACGTACAATTTGAAGGTCTGTCCCTATTCGGTCGACACACGCATCTATGGGTCAGTCAGGCTGTCAGGTCTGGGGCAAGTGTGAAAGTTCAATGTCCACAAGGCAACAGTAAATAAATATAATGTAGGCGATACGCTTGTCGAATTGGCAGACGGCTATAATTTGCCATCTGTGTAGGGAATCAAACCATATTATATATATGTTATATCTATAAGGTTGAGCCAAAGTTTTCTATGCGTCTCACATTGCCTTTTACACTTGTCATTGGTTCTATCTATGCATCGTTGACATTTTTTATATCCTATATCCGTTCAATAGATACGCTGGGCATGACATTCTTTTCCAACAGTGTGTACATTTAATAAGAAATTGACTTTCTCGAACTCACAATTTGTAAATAAATATTATTCGATTACTTTTCACTAAATATTTTTACAAATTATTGCCACATTATTTACTATAGAGTATCAGGTCGTGTACTACTTCCGACGTCAGCTCACAGTTGTTTCTTTGCGAACCTTTTGCTTTTTATTGATAAGCTCAGCTCTTTGACGGGCCTTTGAGCGTATCTGCAGATGGCATCATAACTGCTCAGCATAAGGGAAAATGGCGTCTGTCGAGTGTCGTGCAGTGTCCTTGACATTGATGGCAGTTTATCCACTACTTTGACTGGCAAACATTTATAATTGCTTCCTGTGGCGCATCAAATTAAATTCAATTTACTGTGTGTAGTTGAAATCCGATTTATTGAGTAACAAGCGAATTAAAGCTTGTCAAGTCAGTCAAATCTGTCTGTAAAAATTTTTTTTGTATATTTCAAGACTCTCTTTGCCTTAAAAAAAAACTGGAAATAAATATACATTTTTCCCATTTGCCAATATATCATGCGTATGTTTTATAACCTTATTTGACTACGGATCACTGATGCGTTTGCCAATTGAGAGTCGAACGCACGCAAATAATTCATGTTGCAATTGCTATATGGCAAAAGGCATTCCAGTGCGTTGGGAACTTACTCTTAGTCATAAACTTTTTCCTGTCATTTGGCTGACTACATTCACATAGTTATGCTTCTATTCCATGCTGTTAAATCATTTCAGAGCACTCAGTTACGAGTGAGTGACGTGTTTTAGTTTTGATATGCAATTTTTCGATTATTCAACAAGATTTTGGCGATTGCTTATTTTCCTCTGTTCAGTGCACTCACTCACAGTAAATCGATAATGTTTCAAATAGAAATTGCTTGAGGTTGACTCATATCTATGTATGTCTACTACCAAGCGACTTTAGGCGAAACTCGAGTATTTAAAAAGTTCAATTATAATCGCTATTACCTAAAAATTGCTTGCAAAGTAAGTAATAGAAGTTAAGCTACGACTGAACGACTAAAAGATAGCCTAAACGCAGACACAGTCCAATACTATTAATTACTATTAATTATTTTGAAATATTTTTTGTCAATTAAATATAGATCATCAGTGAAGCAATCAAAATTTGTAATTATGAGCCTTATATCAATTTTTTTCCGTTATTGTAGGCTTTGAGTATAGTATGCATATAGCTCTTTTACATACTAAGAGATCAACTTGTTGACATACAGACAAGCCTATGTCGACTCAGCTGATAGAAGTTTTTTATCAAAGAAGAAGATTTTGTATCCTTCACAATAAGTCGCCCTATCCTACCCCAAAGCAAACATTTGCAATGGGTAATACAAATTCTTGGCCTTCTTCCAACTGCTGAACATATTTTTGCTGGTACTGCACTCAAGAAAGATTTCATTATGCCAATTGCAAGGACAAAAACGAAATTGGTCAAAAGAAATAAAATGGTCGACAATTCGCATTTGCAGTTTGAATTTTGCTGGCTGCAAAAAGTTTGACGCCATCATTGATTTTCTTCAATAATAATTTCTTGAGCTTTACTTGCTAATGCCGAAACTTTTTACCTTTGATATACAGACTTTTATGCGATATCTCAAATATATATGGTATAACAAACTAATTGAACAATGGAGACTGCTGCAGACATTATTAAAAGTATTTTGTCATATTTCCTGATTCGATTATGGCGCACATAGAAACACATATATTGTGTTAAATAGATTTGGCCAGGCCAAATTGTTGTGGACACGCAATTTGCGACACACTTTTCGAAGCACGTCGGGGGCGTCATTAATATTCATATACGTTTATTTATTTTGTGGTCGCCAGTTGGCAGTGGATACTGTGTGGCTGCTGTTGCTGCTGCCCCTGCAGGAAACTGCTGAGAAGTTGAGACATGTTGGACATTATTTTATTATTGCAATGTGTCAAACTTTGATGCACTTTAATTAACATGCAAATTGTTCTGTGCTGTGCTTTGTGCCAAGCATAGAATTTTTTCTCTATGCTGCCTACATGGCGTATAAGCAACGTTTAATTAAATTGTGTTGACATTCTGAAGTGACAGTGCCTCGTTTACACAGGGAACTTTTTAATTGAATTATATATATGTATTGTATGTAACTGCATTGTATGCAAAGTTAAAACTTTTCCACACTCAACGCGTACCCCGAGGCCAACTCTTTTTTCTTTTTCTTTATCATTTTCAAGCGAAATTTGATTAAAACGCATATTTTTCAATAACCGTCGAAGTTCTTTGAAAAGCATGAGTTCAATAGCTATGGGGCATAACAAAATATATAAAAAATAGCTCAATGAACAGATTTTAAGCTGAAATATGAAAAATCTATTTTTTTTTTGTTTGATGTGCTTTACTCATGCGGCTTTGTTCAAATATTATTTTATGACGAAGCTGTTGATATTATTTGAAATCTGCATCAATTAAAAATTCTGAAGAAATTATTTAAAAAAATTTGGCATTGAGATCAAATATTGAAATTTTTTTATGTTCAATTTAACTTTCTATTTAAACTTATTTTACTGTACTAGCAAAACGAAATAGCCTAATTAATGAATATTTCGATCTGTCAAGTGGCACGCAAAGCCATCAGAAACAGTAATAATGACCAACTTATCATTGCTAATGGCCGGCAGAGTGGGATGATGTGCTATTCAGAAGCAATTCAAGGCCGAATCCGAGGAAGGTAGCTTAATTGGCCGGCCAAATGCTTTGCAGTTTCTCCCATTTGATTAGCAAGTAATTGTGTGAAATTTTGTTGCTGCGGCTTAGCTGGTCGTGCTCTTCATATTCTAATGATTGTGGCTTAATTAAGTGCTTGCACGCACAGTTCAGCAGTTGAGTAGTTGAACTGTTAAACTGATGCATACATACTCGAGCAGACAGTTCACAATAATGCACGGCACGGCATATGTGGGCCATAAATTTTCACTTGACCCAAACTGGCTGTGTAGCTCGTGCAGATTTGTGGTACGGCTGCCATCCCCCTGCTCTTACCTTGGCGTACGTGTAGTAAAAACATTCAAGCCTCCTATGGAGGAGTTGGCACTTTGCACCTTCAAAACTTTTCCTAAAATGGGCAGCAGTGTGCACGCACTTACACACACCCATACACACCCACACACCCACACTCACATACGCTCGCAATTGTGCTGCACTACAACACGCACACATAAGCACAAGTGACAGGTAATTTGTGCATAAAAGCGTGGAGCCCAGGTACGTTGCTAGCTGGCAGTTACCGTTGCCGTGACATCAACGTATGTATACATATATTATACATTTCATAGTCAGCTTTTTGTGTCATTCTCTTTTTCATTTTTTGCTCCCACTTTTTTCGTGCTCTTGACAAATTTGCAATTGCCCTTCGCTGGCAGTTTCCGAAAGGTGAGCATTCAGCGTTCAATGCATTTTGGTCTTTGCACTTTTCAGCAGATACTCTGATAGCAGCAGGCTTTCTACGACAGTTCGATTAACAACTGAGACTATTCCCATGGCCAGATCCTAAGGCCTATCAAGCTGCAGTGTGAATTAGTTGAGAAGTAAATCCCTAACTTTCTGGGAACATTTATACTGAAGCATTTAAGCTTGCTAATGAACATCGCATGTGAGTAATATAATAATCTTTACTATTCTTAAAGTTTAATCCACTAAAACAAATTTTAATTTCCATTTATTATCCTCTGCTTTAGTGTCCATTTGATTGCATCTGTCATAAATGAAATAAAGCGTAATCATTCCTAGAAATTTTGATTCTGAGCAGCAGGGATGAGTTCATTTATCAACTGTGGTTAATTTGATTTCTGCTTAAAGCCAACACAACATTATTAAATGACATGTACAAAGGACAATCAGAAAATCAATTGCAAATTAAATTAAGCTCGTCGCATGGAACAATTGAATTGCAAATGCCTCGGCGAGCTTGTCCATTTCTAATTACCTATTTGATGCACACACAGAAACATAGGCCAATTTCAAATTAAATTGACAGTTCGATAATGTTCACAATAATAAAAGCTGGCATATTGCAATTAGAATTTGTTAGCCGAAATGTGTTTTCCTTCTGTGGCGCTTTTACAAACCAATTTTGTTGCATACGAAAAATATTATTGCAATCACTTTAACACACGCATACAAACGCACACCCATGTCTGTGTAGCTTAATAAACATTAAACATGAACATTTATTTGCTTCAATAAGTCAATAAATTTAGCAAGCAGCAAGTAGCACGGCTCACACTGAATAATTCTTTGAATATTTCACACAATTTATAGACAAAAATACATTTAGTTTTTTATAACATTTTTTTTTTAATTTTCTTTACTTGCAGTATTTATTAAAAAAGAATTTTAACTTCCGGCTGATATATAAACCAGCTAGCTTCCCTTGAGATAAAATAAAATGAGTTCTGTAATAACTAAAAATTAAATATATTGTGACTTAAGTTAAACTAACTTAGTTTATCGCTTCAAACGGCTTGGTTCATATTCATAATATAATTCTTCTGAAGTGCAAACACAATGTTGGTCTGCATTCCTAGTTTTCTATTCCATCACGGTAAGATAATTAAATAATTTATAATTAAATAAAAATATCTTTCACTATATATATTATAATTACAATCTTTTCACGGCTAAAGAGCATCCATAAATCGAGCAAACCTCAATTTTCTATTGTGTTGCACTGACTTTCTCTTATTTAATTTCGAACAGTGTGAGTTCTTTGGGTATTGCATTCTTTTCCGCTTGCGAATACTAATTAAATGTATTGTGTTTACAATAATGTCCTGGTCTTTCGCGCAATGTTGAGCCACCGATTCAAAACGTGACAAGTAAGATCACAAGAATCCCATAAAATGCACACGAATAAATCTAACTTTGTTACGTATACGCTGTTTGATATAACTCTGCGCAGGCAGCGATTATAATGACCTGGCTTAATTTTGTGCACCCACAGTGTATAAATATGGTTAAGTATGCTCCCTCGCGCTTTTATAACTGGGATATATGGAATCCGCTGCAGTGTCGACAATTCCAGCGACTCGCTTTCTGTTTTATGACTTCAGCTAAAACTTTTGCATTTACATTTAACAGGCAATCAACGTTGTGCAAATGACTGTGTGTGAATATGTATAAACTACGTTTGATAACCACCCACAGGTGTGTATCTCATTTGGCAAAGCCTTCTCGTCGCAAATGTATGCTAACTGCCTTGGCCATGTCACTCGTAATTTGTAATTTCAGGCCATTTCCACAGCTAAATTACATCGGGATATACACATTACTAAATATATGGCGATTTCCAGTTGTAAATTTGTAGATGCATGTGATTTCCGGGCCACAGTCAGGCTGACCTGCCAATGTTGTAAGCAAAAACACAAAAGATGGCTGCAGTTGGGCTCAACTAACTGTGCCATGCTTGCCATGGCCATGGCCCCTAATAGGTGCACAATATAATGTGGGGTTGTATCTGTAGAGTAGAGATCGGAAATCGATTAGTTTTTGAGCTGAGGAGTATATAGTTTAAGCACAAGTCGGTATGAACAAATCCAAACATTGTACAACATCAACATGCCCTTTCGACAGGGCAAATGAGTTTTTGCATGTGTATATTAATGACATGTACACAAAAGCAATTAGCTGACAAAAAAGTGACATAAAGCAAACATTGTTAACTATGAAACACATATATGTTTTTCGGAGCAAATTAATTGAGTTGTTTACAAAAATATTGTAATAAATTCGGACACTTTTTATTAATATGTAAATAATATGCGGTTCTTTAATATGCAACAATAGGAAAATCAAGCTCAATTTAAATCTGATGAATAAGTTCATGCGTTCATGGCTGACTAAGTTCTATCGTTCGATCTCTGAATGAGCTCAACAACTTCAATCAAACTTCTGTTCAACTGTACACAATTTCTTTGTTTACAGCTTAGCCATTGTTGCGGGAAAATTGTATACAGAAATTCATTGTCAACTAGAGTAAGTTGTAAGAAAGTCGCTCAAAGACTTAAAATATTAGTTATTATTTAATAAATATCTTAATTTTAAATTGAACTATGCTTTTAGTATGGGTATTCTGTTGGCAGTTTAACTAAGCTCTGCCTGTCTGTTAGTCAATTCTAGCCTTAAGAGAGAATTCCAATTAATATAAATTGATTTAGTTATCCAATGTTTGTATTATTTAGTTTATTGCTCATTTGAAACTCGTTTTCGTTAGTGTGATGAAGTTGTCTTAAAAAAGAATACTTATAATGCCCACTGCTGGGATCACATAAATAGTAGCAGGATAAAGCAAGTTTGTCAGCTTATGCAGCTTCCGCAAAAGTTTTAAAGTGCTTGTCAGTTTTAGTTGTGGCAAGTGAGTGTGTAAACGGGGCTAGCCAAATGCGCCCAAATGAAGCTCTCTGCGGCAAAGACTTTTGCAGTTTCACTTCTGCATGCAGCAATTATTGCTTAAGCTGTTGCCAGACACATAGATAATGTTTAAATACTGAAATCCTTAAAGTTGGCGACTGAAAGTACTCGGATAGTCTGAAAAGAACGAGCTGCTTAGAAATAATGTGTTTTCCTATCATGATAGCTATCTTTACTCACACACTTGCATGTTTACACGTTACACCTAGTACGGGCGTTCAAAAGAGGTAAAACAAATTTAACTGTTGGTAGCACCGACCCTGAGACCACTTAGAATGCGACTTCCTCCGTCCCCGCCCCTGCCGTTAAACCAAAACAATTTTCTTGTGTACCTATGAGGCTTTTGTAGCAGCATTTGCTCTTTCGAAATTGAACTGTGGTCATGCAAATGCAGCTGCCATGTTCTTTCCTCAACATTGTGGCATTCAACTTGAATACATGTTGTGTCGGTTCACTCAATTACAAACTGCTTACCACATACTCGGCACGGAAACGTTGGCAATTGAATGTCGAGCAAGGAGGAGGATTGGGCGATGGACGATGTGTGTGCCGGTCTCGACCTTTGTAGCCGTCATTGGCAGTGGCATGAGATATTCGGGTATTTACCTGGACTGAAACGTGAGATAATGATAAACAATAAGTTACTACAGCAGGTTCAAGTCTGCATCTGAGTATTGTAGTATTGTGCAACTCGTTGACCATTGTTTGATGGTTGTGGCTTTTGTTGTTTTGTCGCAAGTTGCCTGTCGGTCGCTCTGCGGCTGGTTGTTTATCTTTGACCAACAGTTGCTGGCAGACGAGTTTACCTTTTATTGTAAATTCAACTAAAATAAAATCCCAAATTGTCCTCCTTTGTCCCTTTCGGCAGCAACGGCACTTTTGTGGCTGCTAAATGTGGTATTTCTCGTTCACTTTAAAATGTATTTTGGGCCTTATTTGCACGGTCCGGCGGTCCGTCAGCTGTCGTACGAGTCATTTGCAATTGACATGCAAATTTCAACTGAAAATTGTTGTAGACATTCAAGCATTAATCAAACTTATGTGTCAACAATTAACACTTGCCCAAATTGGCAAATAGGCAAATTGCCCGGCCAGGCTTCATTAAATATGAACACTGCTCGCACACAGAAACTGTTCAAAAACTTGTCCCCAACATAGCACGTGGAGTTCACAAATTGCACAACAATAAATATTTACATACTCATTAAAGTTTTCACATTAAATTAATACTGGCCTGGCGCCAACTGAACTGAACCCGAATCAGAACCAACGGCAAACATAAGCCTTCGCCTCGCCGGCACAAGCTTAAAACTTTTTCGATCTCCTGTCCAGTGTTGCTCAAAAAATAAATACGATTCTTATTGCATAAAGTGCTAGGTCCAGAGATACTCTATAAATTGATTTCGATTATAAAATATATTTGTATTATTTTTTATTATAATTATAATATATTATCTCAGATCTGGACTAAACTATTTATGCTCAATTACAAAGTAAGAGGAGTTGAGTTTTATTCGTTCATCTATAACCAAACTTGTTTATAGCAGAAATCGAGAAAACCAGCAAATTAACAGAGATAAACCTCAAAAGTTATTCTACAGGGAAACACTCTGCCACGGCCAGTAAAGAAATCTATTATGCTTTCTGGCACTTATTTAATGGATATTAGAGCGTATTAAAAACTGTGTAAATATATATATATATATATATTACATGTATTTTTTGGGCCTGCAGGGCAAGACCTCTGTCAGCGCCGGGTGCCGTGCTCCGGTCACGTGCCTCAACGGCAGCCTACAAAACGAATTATAAACGAGCTGGAACTGCTGTGCCGGACGTGTCGGGTAACAGGGTCAGAACTGGGTCTGTGCTTTGTGGATGAGCTACACAAATGACTCATTATATTAATTGTTATTGTCGCATAAAAATAAATGCTTTGTAGCCTAAAAAATATATTTCGAAACGACTTAGAGCATCGGCATGATTTCAAGCTTTTAGATCGATCAGCTCAGTGTTTGCTTGGGGCTTATCCCATTGGCTTTTCGTTGGTATGCTCGCAGGATTTGCTGTTGCTGATGCTTATCAGCTATAGGCAAGCTGCAGCTGGAAACCATCTGCTAACTTTCAAATCCAGTCTTAGTTCGAGCCAACTGGTGCTAGCTTATTTAGCTGGCATTCTCGGATGCTGCACGCCAGTATTCTGCGCGTTCATAAATCATAATTTAGTTCATGTCATGCTGTTGCGTGTTGCCGTCAGAATGGCTGCCAGGGAGCAGCCTCAGTCTCAGCCACAACGGCAGCGGCAGTCACAGCTAGCTGCCTGCAGCAGTTGCTACGCTCAGTGCTTGGTGTACGCACACCTTGACGTATGAGTGATTTATGTAAATGAAATTGTTTGTTACAGACCATATAAAA